ACCAACATACTGCTGTATTTCTTCTTTCTTTCAGTGACCAGTTCCTATAAATTGTGGAAATAGAATCCTTTTCACCCACACCTATGCAGAAATTTTGCATAAATCAAGAATCTTAAGAGTTCCTATGGAGATTCAGAAGTTTCCATTTCATTGGATAAGACTTCCGGCAGAGCCCTTCTCTGGATCACTCCCTTTCTGGCAACTCAGTAAGATATTATTTTGCCTGTTTTCATTTTGTTTGTTTTACCTACAAGCTCATATTACTCACTTATATTTTTTCCTTGAAGGTTCTAACTTAACTGGAAACATAATCTTTTCTACAGATATTTGGATAGTCTGTTTAATAATAATGAAGAAACATTTTATAGTTTCATTTCCGATCAGAGTTTTTTTGACCAAAGGTTTTGTGCCAGTGCACTTGTAACATCTCTTCTGACATCAACTGCTTTTCCAGGTGAGAGTGTGAAGTAAGTTTCAGTCTCTTGTTTTTCTATTCTGTTTTTAAAACCTAGTCTATGAATTTACTAATTGCGTTTATCTTTTTTTCTCTCTCTCTCTCTCTCTTTTAGAACTCTAACATGGTGTCAAGATGGAAGCCACTTACCAATTGTTTTGACTATCGCTGAACCTCGTCTAAGACAATCTACTTAGGTAATTCTAGGTAATTCTAGGTAATTCTAGGTAATTCTTCAGTGCACTTGTAACATCTCTTCTGATTTCCTCTCTTCCATAAATGACCCCAATGAAACAAATATAATGCCACAAACAATTCAACTAAGAGGCACCTAGCCAGATTAATCTGCAGAAATTTGACTGCTGGTGAAGTAGTCTAAACTTGATTGTCATCCTTAAAAAAACCTGTGTAATGTTATTCCAGTTAAGGGACACCCCTGAAAAACTAAATCTAACTGTAGGAGATCTTAGCATTGCTGAAGAAAGTACTACCGTCTTTCTCGGACTGACTGTAGATAACCGGCTTTCCTGGAGAGCGCATCTGGATGTAATTGGAAGTAAACTGAGGAAGAGCGTGTATGTCATTGGACAGATCTCCCAAGTGGTGGATCACCACACTCTTCTTCTAGTTTACTATGCGTTTGTATTTTCTATTCTCTCGTATGGTATCTCAATATGGGGTGGCTATGCCACTAAAAGTGACCTGAATAAGCTATTTAGTACACAAAAAAAAGCAGTGAGGATACTTTCAAATTTGCCAGCTCTTGCATCCTGTAGAGGATACTTCATAAAAAATGGCAATTTATTAAAGAATATCGCTCCCATATGGGAGGGTTTAACTTTTACCACGTTTGATTTAGAGCGTTCTGTATGCATATTTTTTTTATTTCGCGTAGGGTACTCATGTATGGAATTGACCAGCCTTGTATGTTTTGGATTTGCCATAGTAAAGATGATGCATCTATGTACATATAGTGCATGTACCGTTAGGAGTTGATGTTCCAATCCCACTTACATATAAATGTTTTCCATCTAACTTTTTCTGATCAGACCGAACAGCATGCATGATTTTAGAATCAAAATGAGTGTCTATTTATGCTGAATTCAATAAAATTAAAATCGAAGCTGTCTGATAAAAATTAACTTTGCTAGATAACTAGAAGCAACATCAAAATGAACCAACTTTGTGTTTGAGGTAACTTCTGTTGTTTTTCAACTATGTCTTTTTTGAGAATCTGCGGCTGCATGCAAGGTTTACTAATCAAATTAAAGCCGTCTTATACTGTTATATCCAAAATGTGCCTAAACTATTGTTATTTTTTTCAATGTTGCATGTTATTGATTTGAGGTGTTCTTGTTCTAGCAAATTGTGTTTATATTAAAAGAGGTTTAACTTTTGGGTTTAATAAGTAAGGAAAAATAAAGTTAATGGCTTTTATTTATAATGCTCTTATAACCTTCTCTTTTTAGACAGTCCCCTAAAGGATTGTTTTAAAATTGACATCAGCCAAAGACCGAGCAAAGACGCATTGCATTTTACTGGTAAGCATTATGCACTCTTAACATCAATCTGAAAGACAGGCCAGCTGACGATATGACATGGTAGATTCGAAGAACGCCAGTGCTGCAGAGAGACAAAACATAATTTAACAGAGTAGGGGTCACAGGAGATAAAATTCAGCATAAATGCTAAAACTCACATGTATTTAGTAAGTGACTTTACTCTTTGAGTAGGGTATGCTGCAGTCAGAAATATGCAAATGGCCATGAAGAAACACAACCTGCGAAAAAAAAAGAAGACACAGGTTACAAAACATATGTTCGTCCCCTTTTCAAAGCACGGACAGCATAGTAGTTTAGGCGAGAGGGGGCGAGGAAAAGGCAGACTTTTCGCTGGGACGAGTAAAGGGAAGGCATTAAAAGATTTCAGGTACACTACTTCTTACCAGGGGATGAAGTGAAGAGGAAGAAACCATTGCAGCCCTACTATTAAATATAATGTGTCAGATAAGGTAGTCGCCCTGTGGACAAGAAAGTCAGGTTAGAATGCTGCACCAAGGGTTACCAAGGGTATTTAAACGTAAATTTACTTACACCAATAGAACGTTCTCAAAGCAGGAGTAACGTGTCATTTTATTTGCAGCTGATAAGGAAAGAGTC